AAAAAAAAAAAAAAAAATGGTTGCAGCAGTATTTTGACAGAGAACTTCCAGAAATGCAAGCTGGATTCAGAAAAGGATGTGGAATGAGGGATATCATTGCTCAGATTGTCAGATGGATCTTAGCTGAAAACAAAGAATACCAGAAAGATGTTTACTTGTGTTTTATTGACTATACAATAGTATTTGATTATGTAGATCATAACAAATAGTAGGTAACATTGAGAAGAATGAGAATTCCCGAACACTTGACTGTACTTATGAAGAAACTGTACATAGACCTGGAGGCTGTGGTTTGAACAAAACAACAGGATAATGCATGGTTTAAAATCATAAAAGTAGTGCATCAGGATTATATCCTTTCATCATATTTATTCAATCTGTATGCTGAACAAATAATCTGAGAAGGTGGACTACATGAAGACAGTGGCATCAAGATTGGAGAAAGACTCATTAACAATCTGTGATATGCAGATGACACACTTTGCTTGCTGAAAGTGAGGATGACTTGAAGCACTTATTGATGAAGATTAAAGACTACAGTTTGCAGTATGGATTACATCTCAACATAAAGAAAACAAAAATCCTCACAATTGGACCAATAAGCAGCATCAGAAGAAAAGATTGATGTTGTTAAAGATTTCATATTCCTTGTTTCCACAATCAACACCCATAGAAGCAGCAATCAAGACATCAGATGATGCCTTGCACTGGGCAAATCTGAAAAAGACCCCTTTAAAGTCTGAAGATCAAAGATGTTCCCTTGAAGACTAAGATGCACTTAACCCAAGCCATGGTATTTTCAATAGCCTCATATGCATGTGAGAGCCGGACAATGAATAAGAAAGACCGAAGAAGAGCTGATGCTTTTGAGTTGTGGTGTTGGTGAAGAATACTGAAAGTACCATGGACTGCCAAAAGAACAAACAAATCTTTCCTGAGAGAAGTGCAGCCAGAATGCTCCTTGGAAGCGAGAATGGCCAGACTTCGTCTCAACTACTTTGGTCGTGTTTTCAGAAGTGACCATTTCTTGGAGAAAGATATCATGCTTGGTGAAGTGGAGAGTCAACAAACAATGGGAAGACCCTCAATGAGATAGATTGTCATGGTGGCTGCAACTATGGGTTCAGGTGTAGCAAAGATTGTGAGGCTGGCATAGGACTGGGCAGTGTTTTGTTCTGTTTTACATAGGGTCGTTATGGGTTGGAGCTGACTTGACGGCACCTAACAACATGACACGGTGAAAAGGGCATTTCTGGAGCCTGAATTATGGGTCATATATCTCCTGGATCACTGTAAAAGGATTTGTCTTTGGTTTAAGCAAAAAGATGAAAAATGAGCTGTGGTGAATTTATAGTGAAGCAGAGAGACAGGGGGGATAAGTGGGTATAGATTCAACTCTAGTCATAGGGTCAGCATTTGGAAAGTGTCTCTTCTGGATAACTCAAGTGTCTGAAATACAGTTTCACATCTTGTAAATGTCAGTATTTATAGCACACATGTATTGGGACATTTTTGAGGACCAAATGAAGTAACTGATGTGGAAGTGTTTTCTCAAGGGTCAGGGGATACGGTGTTGCAAGTCATTGGGTTAAGAAGGTTATTATGGACATTTCACCCAGCACATATCATCAGTCCACTCTAGCCCTGAATAATTCACACTGAAATGGTTTTTGCTGAGTTTTCTGTTGTGTTTCCTCCTACAGGCCAATGGGAAGTGATTGGACCAGACAAACCTGTCCAGGCCTTGGTGGGGAAAGATGTAGTGTTCTCCTGCTTCCTCTATCCTGAGTTGACTGCAGAGGCCATGGAAGTGAGGTTCTTTAGGAATCGGTTTTCTGATGTGGTCCACATCTACAAGGATGGGAAAGACCAGAAACATATGCAGATGCCATCCTACCATGGGAGAACTGAGCTCATAAAGGACTCCATTACCAAGGGGCATGTCTCCTTGAGACTGGAGAATGTCACTTCCTCAGATGCTGACTTGTACGGCTGCAGCTTCATCTCCCAGAATAATTACCAGGAGGCTATCTGGGAATTGCAGGTGTCAGGTCAGTTGCTTATTCAAAGAGCTCATAACTTAGTCATCACATAGTATTACCTTGAACTTTTAGACAGTTTGTTGGGTGAGATTTTTAAATCTTAGGCTATTTAGTTAGAAGACAGCATCCCACAATTTCAGTTCATATTGTATCATACCTATAGTTCAGTGTTATTTTATCACATATGTATATTCATGTAACTACTACCACTTCAAGACACAGAATTATCCTATCACTATGAAGATCTCCCTCATGATACATCTTTATACTGACTATACTGACAGGTGGCTGCCACACCTGCTGCCATCATGAACTCCTGACAGCCACTAATCTCTTCAATATCTCTGTCAATTTTTTTTTTTGTTTGTTTCAAGACTGCTATATCAATAGAATCATACAGTATGTAGATTAATTCTTTTCTTTCTTGTGGTTTGGGTGAAAGTTTACAGAGCAAATTGGTTTTCCATTCAACAATTCATATACATTTTGTTTTGTGATGATAATTGCAATCCCCACAATGTAAGAGCATTCTTCCTATTTCTATTATTTACCATTTCCCTTTGTCCTTTCTACACTATCCTGCCTTCTGATCTTTATCCCTGGGCAAATGCTACCCTTTTGATCTCATATGGATGATTGTTCTAATGAATATGTACCTTCCTGGTGCTGTCGTTCACCTTATAGGACTGGCTATTGTTTGGTTCAAAGTTGAGTCATAGGGGTGAGCTCACTTCTAGCTTTGAAGGATGTCTAAGGGCCATAGTCTCAGGGGTTCCACCAGTCTTTATCAAACCAGTGATGCTGGTCTACTTTTATTATTTTGAAATTTGTTCCACATTTTTCTCCCACCCTGTCTAGGACCTCCTATTGGGATCCCTTTCAGTGAAGTCAGCAGTGGTAGCCAGGCACCACCTAATTCTTCTGGTTTCAAGATCATGGAGGCTGAGGTTTGTGTGGTCCATTAGTCCTTTGGACTAATTGTTTCCATATGTCTTTGATTTTCTTCACCTTTCTTTGCTTCAGATAGAGAGAGACAAATCGTTGCATCTTAGAAGGGTGCTCACAAGCTTTTAAGACCCCAGTCACTACTCACCAAAATGGGATGTAGGATATTATCTTTGTGAACTATGTTATGCCAATTGACTTCAGTGTCCCCCAAGATTATAATCTTGAGCTCCCAGGCCCAGTGACTCATTCCTTCAACATGTTTGCTCATAGCTAAGATGTTTTCATAACTTTGTCCCCTGTACACTCTACTATATTAATGGACATATTTGCAGCACATATAAATATATATATATAGATAGATAGATATATCCTCTGTCAAACCTATATATGTTCATGATATAGTCCTATTTATCTTCCCACTTCTGTTCAGCTGGAATGTCTATCTTGGTATCCACATATGTTGTTGTTGTTGTTATGTGCTGTCGAGTTATCTCCTACTCATAGAGACCTTATGTACAACAGAATGAAACACTGCTCAGTTCTGTGCCAACCTCACAATCCCTACTATACCTGAGACCATTGCTCCGGCCACTGTGGGAATCCATCTTGTTGGGGGCCTTCCCCTCTTTCATTAACCCTTCACTGTACCAAACGTGACATCCTTCTCCAGAGAATGGTTCCTTCTGACAATATGACCAAAGTAAGTGAGATGAAGTTTGGCCATTCTTGCTTCCAAGGAACATTCTGATGTACTTCTTCCAGGACAGATTTGTTCATTCTTTTATCCATGGTACTCTCAGCATTCTTTACCAACACCAGAACTCAAAAGCATCTTTGATCTTCTTTGGTCTTCCTTATTTGTTGTCCAGTTTTCACATGCATATGAGACAATTGAAAATACTATGGCTTGGGTTAGGCACATCTTAGTCTTCAAGGAGATATTTTTGGTCTTCAGCATTTGAAAGAGGTCTTTTGCAACAGATTTGCCCAATGCAGTATGTCTTTTGATGTCTTAACTGCTGCTTCTATTGGTGTCGATTGTAGAAGCAAGTAATATGAAGTCTTAGACAACTTCAGTCTTTTCTCCATTCATCATGATGCTGCTTATTGGTCCACTTGTGAGGCTTTTTGTTTTCTTTATATTGAGGTGTAATCTATACTGAAGACTGTAGTCTTCAATCTTCATCAGCAAGTGCTTCAAATCGTTATCACTTCCAGCAAAGAAAGTTGTGCCGTCAGCATATCAGACGTTGTTAATGATTCTTCCTCCAATCCTGATGCCACATTCTTCTTCATATTGTCCAGCTTCTTTGATTATTTGCTCAGCAAACAGTTTGAATAAGTATAGTGAAAGGATATAACCTTGACACACTACCCTTCCTGATTTTAAACCATGCAGCGTCCCCTTGTTCTGTTCAAATGACAGCATCCTGGTCTGTGTACAGGTTCCTCATGAGTACCATAAGTATTCTGGAATTCCCATTCTTGTCAATGTTATCCACAATTTGTTATGAACCACACAATCAGAGCCTCTGCTTCATCAATAAAACATACACACACAAAAATATCTTTCTGGTATTCTTTGCTTTGAGCCAAGATCATCTGACATCAGTTATAATAATCCCTTCTCCAAGTCACCTTCTGAATCTAGCTTGAATTTCTGGAAGTTCTCTGTCAATATACTGCTGCAACCATTTTTGAATTATCTTCAGTAAGATTTTACTTGCTTGTGATATCAACAATATTGTTCGATAATTTCCACATTCTTTGTGTGATAGTTGGAGTTGTGTGTCAACTTGGCTGGACCGCAATTCTGAGGGTTTTAAGCAGTTGTGATGTGGGTTATTCCCATGATGAATTCAGATGTGTATGTTTTGAGCAACCAATCCACTGAAAGGGAGTTTCCCTAGGGGTGTGGGATGCTTCCAATATATTTATGGGCATCCTGGGAAAAAGAGTCACTCTTCTGTGGATCAGGATCCTCCTGTGCTGCCTGCAACTGCCCATGAACAAACAATCCACTATTCAGCCTGGAGATCTTGGATTTGTCATTTGTTGGAGTCAACAGCTGGTATACTGCCTGCCAACCTTGAGCTTGTCAGTCCCTGCAGCTGTGTGAGTCAGGAAAAAACCTCCAGCTTGACGTTTGATCCAAGAACTTGGGACTTGCCAGATTCTATAAGTGTGTGACACATTTTCCTAAGATAAATTTCTCTTTCTCTCTCTCTCTCTCTGTAAGCTTTACTGGTTTTGCCTCTCTAGAGAACCCAGCCTAACTCTTTTGGTACCGGGAGTGGTTCTAGAAAGACAAAATCATAAGGATGGGCTTCCTAAATTGGTTCTCGCTGATTCTGCTTTGGTTCTCCAATTTCATTGATTTGTAAAGGCACTGGTGACTCTGGCTCCATTAGTAAAGAGGGCCCTACTTATCCATGGCATGAGGTGGTAACATTAATATGCAAAATAGCACCAGCAATAGATCAAGCATTTTTGAGAAATGAGGCTCTAAGTGATCACATATTTGATACTTTTCTGCAATTTTGTCAGCGTGAGGAGTATAAGGAAACTGGTTGGTTGATCCTGCTTATGTTAGTCAAAGTGGTGAAAGAGCGAGACAAGCTGAGGGCTGCTGAGTCACAGCTCAAGCACTGCATAAAAGACCTCAATGTTTCCAGTTGTGTCCTGAAAGAAAGTCTTATTTCTTCTAGTAACAGAGCTGATATTGCTGAAAACCAAACCCAGGGTATTATTGTAAGAGTGGCTGAATTACAATGTCAATTTAACTGCCAACCCAGAATGGTGTGTGAAGTTAAAGTGAGGGCATTGATTGGGAAAAAATGGGATCCTGAAACCTGGAATGGAGACATATGGGAAGACATTCAGGAAGATGAGGATATGCAGCCTGGAAGTTCTGTAGAATCCCTCCCATCTGAAGGGATTACTGTAAAACCATCATCCCTTCCACCTCAGTTTGATGTGATTAACCCAACTGTTCCTGCTGGGTCATTGACTGAGATAGAGGCTATGGAAGACATTGCTGAATGTTCTCAGGAACCTCCCCAACCACCCATTGTTGCTGCTAGACCTATAACTAAAGTTAAGTCCAAGCAAGCCCCAAAAGGTGAAATAACAAAGTGTGACTGAGGAGGTTGTATGCTACAACCAAAAAGACCTACTTGATTTTGCTAACATGTACAGACAGAAACATGGAGACTATTTATGGGAATGGCTACTGAGGGTGTGGAATAATGGTGCAAGGAATGTAACATTGAATCAGTCTGAGTTTATTGATTTAGGCCCACTAAGTACAGATTCTTCATTCAAGGTTTCAGCTCAAGAGGTTAGGAAAGGATCTAATAGTTTATTTGGTTGGCTTACTGAAGCATGGATTATGTGGTGGCCTATCTTAAGTCAGGAGGAGCTCGGGTAGTGTAGGGCCTAAGGCACTTGACTGCTAACCAGAAGACTGGCGGTTCAAACCCACCAGCCACTCCTCAGATGGAAGGTTAGGCAATCTACTTCCATAGTGATACTGCCTTGGAAACCTAAGGAGGGGTCACTATGAGTTGCATATGCACTCCACGTCGCATAACAACAACAACAACAACATCTTAAGTCAAGTTGAAGTACCAGACCTGCCTTGGTATAATGTAGAAGAAGGTATCCAGAGGCTTAGGGAAATTGGCCTGTTGGAATGGATTTATCAGATTAGATCTCTAGAGCCAGAAATGGAGAGTCCAGGGGACACACCTTTCACCAGTATTGTGAGAAACAAATTTGTGAAGGGAGTTCCATCATCCTTGAAGGCAGCTGTGATTGCTATTTCATGTAATCTGGATTTGACAGTGGGAACTACCCTAATTGAACTAAGACAGATGGGGCTGATTAGACCCCATGGTAGTAGAGGCCAAGTGGCAGTAGTTAATCTACAAAGACAAGGTGGACGTGGTTACCATAATGGACAGCAGAATCAAAAGAGTAATCAAAATACTCTGACTTGTGTGGAAGTATGGCATTGGCTACTTAGTCATGGTATTCCTAGGAGTGAAATATATGGCAAG